GCGCTACTTCGACTTTAATAGAAAATATGGTTCATGCATACATCTCGTTCAGAATGGAAACAATGTGCTCATGTATCCCACAGCACGTTTCCAGGTTTTTACTTCGTCAACGATGTAGCGAGTCAAAGGCAACCTATAAGTCGATGAAACTGGCAGAACAAGGCCACTGCTCGATGATCCTACGCAAATTTGGTCCAAACAAGAGTACCCATTTGAAAGCTTGCTTGATTTAGGTGAAGTCTCACATCAACGGTCTGCCTCGAAATTTACACAGTAATTTCGAAGAACAGTTTTAAGAAAGTTATCAAAAATGTGATCCAACGATAACTGGAACAGTTGGATACTCGACCATGTTTAAACATAGGGACAACTGCTTCACACTTCCATTATATTGGGAAGGTCTACATTTCATGAACTACATGGATTTTTCCACTAAACCCGATCTTCGCTAGTTAATTAATTAACTGCGGAAAATTCGATTCACCCCTGTGGCATTTTGCACGTTGAGATGGAGTAAGGCATTATGGATTTCTATTTTTGTGGATGCACTGCAGAAATCTCTAACGGAAAAGAAAATACTATCAGCAATGGCAGTATTCCATGCCTTTCAGTGCGAGATATCAGAAAGGGTTACTTCTACTTTCTGAATTATGTTCGTCTGAATTCCGACTTATGCGAACGAAAGTCAATAAACTTTAGGATTACCTTTAAGCTTTCGTACGAGTCCATCAGGATCGATATGAACAGCGACAACACCACGTAAATGAACAACGATATGAATGTATAAAAGTAGATGCGCGAGAACCACAGAACAGCCGTGCTTTTGTCGGAAGTGGTTGAAAACGTAGCGAACATGTCATCACCGTTGATCAACGAGTACAGACACTCAGAGGACATCATGAGTGTACGAAACTGAAGAACAAAGCAGATTTAAAAGCAGCAACTTGTAATTAATGCTGAAATTTTGAAAAAAATTGAACGTATAGTCATGCACACGCCAAGCACAATGAATGCTATGACGTCATAATATCTGCATATGTATTAAGTTACAGACAAAAGAGAATGAACAGCGAATTTTGTATTTCTCATCACATGGCATTATAGTGAACGAAAAGAGCAGAATGTGACTTACACATTGAGTCCGGCTATTGCATCACAAGTCAAAAATTTCCTTACGAAGTGTCTTTCGTAATGGCATTCACCAATCTTGTCAGCTCCGCTATATTTTCAATAATATTGACTTAAAGGACAACCTTACAAGCGTGTAACCTGCATTCCTTGGTAGTGCCATCATAAAAAATGTGAAGAGATTTACGTAGTCAGTGTTACCACTAAAATGTGAAATAGCGATCCACTGATATGGGAAACTATTCCAAGCGAATCTGTTCTTAGACAACAAAATTGTGCTGGGCAAGACAGATATTTCCTAAGAATTATTTGCAATGAACGGAGCAGAATCATGAATAGGTAAAATACAATAACGACAGGATAGATCACAATGGTTAAATTTAACTCTACAAACTGCTGGACGATAGTCTGTACATTTCTGTTAGAGATTTACCAACGTAGAAGATCTGATCGAACAAGGATTCAAAACTTTTATAGATCGTAACTCGTCTCCCCGACACCCTATGACTGCCTGAGTGCCTACATTACTTTGCCTGCACTTTGTCAAAATGGTATGTGCAGAGTCTCTGCGTTGATACCTAAGCATGTCATAAGCTTAGAAATCAACTAACATCAAGAATACGTTAGCATTTCACTACAAAATTAACGTGCATATTCACGAAAATCATCCACCCTAGGATTGTACCAGAATGTCCATCCATTCCCTCAGTTCGAAAGTGCACAGACTGGGAGAACACTAGCCAACTAATTATTACGAAATCGATTGGACAAAAACTGAAACTGGACTCAGACAGAAAAGCAACAACAAACACCAACTAGCAAAAGCAAAAATTTTACATTGAATAACGTCTACCTTTGCGAGATACAGTTTAAAAGGTATGTATACGGTACATTTAAGTGCATCTCCAATTATTTACTTACCTGCTTAAATGGTTTATAGACACCTTGCAAAGAGATATTCAACTACGCAGTCAAACCGGCTATTATACTTATCAATATAATGTAGCTCTCCCTCTATTATTATGTTGCATCAACAATAACACAGGAACACTTAATCCAGCATATCAAAGGTGGTCTTTTTACACCAAACAGGAGTGATAACTAGAGCGCATGCATACCTTCATGTTATATGGACCAAGTACGACATAGCCACAGAACAGAAATCCAAAGTAAAGCAGTCCAGCGCAAAACGTGAACCTCAAAACGTTCGGAAGCGAGCGGTTCAGCGTTAAGATCAATATCTGAAAAATGAATCAATAAAGGAGATATTAAATGTAAAAATATAAAAAATTATAACGGTATAATGTAACAGTGAAATAAAGACTTTAACATCGGTCGTCTGGTTGCTTCATTAGCCGATGAATTCATAACATTTATATTCAAGAAGATAAAGAATCCAAATATTTTTAAGATTATTAAATAATCCTGAGCATACTATGCTACAACTTTTAACATTATTATAATAATTAGTGAAATATATATTCATGCAATGTCATTTTCAATACATGCCAGTGTTGCTTAAATTCTTTATCTTTTCAAGACAGCTGGTTGGTACTGGAAACATATATCTAATTTGTCCGTTCAATCAAAAGTTTGGGTTTTGGAAACAGAAGCTGTCATTAAAAAATTTCACAACTAACAATTATTTGCTATTTGTGAAAT